TGGGTTTCCTGAGAATAAAGGTTCTGCCTGTTTGATTCACCACTATACTTGCAGCTTCCCAATATATACATCTGGTAGACCTTCAATAAATAGTTGACAGATAAATAAAGGCTGGGAGCAGGGCAGGGAAAGAGATATAAATGCAAGGAGCCCCTTCTTATTAGGTGCCCCCCACCCAGCTATGTAGCCCAGGCTGGCCTCAAACTCTTTGCATAGCCAAGGAAAACTTTGAATTTTTGATCCTCCCATCTCCACCTCCACAGTGCTGGGTTTACAGGCATGTGTCATGCCAAGAATGTCTGGATTATATAGTGTTGGGCATCAATCCCCCCCCCGTGCATGCTATGCGCACCAGACAAGTGCTCTACCATTGAGCTACATCCTTGTTCTTAATGGGGGAGCATGGCTCTTTCCTCTCCCTGAACTCTGGATGCCTCCCCCACTTCTGCATCAATTCATCACTCCATTCTAGATCTTCCCTTAGCTTTTCTCGGCTTGTTTCCCTTAGCACAAACACAAGATCCTATCCTGTCCTAAAAGAAAAGCTAGGTTCCATGATTTGATGATGTTCTCTGTATCTAAGTCTGCCTTCTTTCCTTTTGTCCAGAGGTGAGGAGGTCAGTCTGACCCCCACACTCTCTGTCACACCTGCCCCTCAGGTTTCTGTGGCCTGCCATAGTCCCTATCACTGTTCTGACACTGTTCCAGATCAGCCCCAGTGACTTGCCAGCTCTGGTCCTGTTTCCTTTTTTATCAGCCTTGGCAGTGTCTCTAGAAAGCTGTCCCTCCTGCTTGGCTCTTCCGAGACACAGGTGTTCCTCTCCCTCTTGGAGTCCCTTCCAAGTCCCCACAGGATGCTTTTCCTCTTTCTGTCTGGGAATTGCCATTTCGGCCTCTTGCACCTACCCTCCTGCCTGTATATTGCTAAGCAGTTTTTTCTCCTGTGGTTTAAATGACCATTTGTGTATGTGAATGTCATACCTTTGATGACCCAAATTTTTATTGCCAGCTATTTTCTATTTTTATGGCCCTTCAGATTTAGTATACACTGAGTTGAATTTGCTATCCTTATGTGTTTCACAAGCTACCTTTTTTTCTGTTGTCTCTCCAAGCAGAGATATGATACCAACCACCTCTCAGCTGCTCTGTAGTTTGCCAAGCTTGTTCATCATCCCCCGGTAGACTCTGGTGCCAGGTCCTATTGAATTCACCTTCTAAATATCTCTTGAATCCATCTGTCCACCTATCTCAGCTTCTGCTAAACTCAAACCTTTTTCTCCTCTTTCCTGGGCACCTCAGCAGCATCTGGAGGCTTCCTACTCGGAAGCTTAATACCCCCCCTCCTTCTCTCTTTTTTCCTTTGAAGATGTGGACTCACTGTTTAACCCAGGATGGTCTCAGCTCACAATGTCTGTTCCTGCTCCTTGAATTAAAGAGGTGCACTGCCACATACAGCCTTGTTACTTTGTTCTTAAGTACCGCTTTCAAATGAATGAGTAACATATTCTCTATTGTCAATTACTTGTAAGGTTATTAAGCTACTAAGAAATAGCAAAGACACATTGCACTCAAGTAGTCCTCAAATCTGACCCCCAATACATAGGTACATATTCTTTCCTTTCTTTCTTTCCTTTCTTTTTATTTTTCAAGACAGGATTTCTCTGTGTAGCTCCTACTGTCCTGGAACTCCCTCTGTAGACCAGACTGGCCTGAAACTCAGATCTACCTGCCTCAGTTTCCTGGGATTAAAGGTGTGTACCATCACCACCCGGCTCTTATTTTTTTTTTCTTTAAAGAAATACTTTTTTTTTGACATTCTGAAATTCCTCCTATCACCACCCGGCTCTTATTTTTTTTTTCTTTAAAGAAATACTTTTTTTTGACATTCTGAAATTCCTCCTTCCTTCCTTTCCTTTCTTTTTCTCCTTTCTCTTTCTTTCTTCCTTTCTTTCCTTCTCTCTTTCTTCTTTTATTTCCTTCTTTCTTTTGTGATAGGGTCTCACTATTTAGACCCAGCAGGTCTAGAATTCTATGTATCCCAGGCTAGCTTGGAATTAATTTACTGAAATCCATCTGCCTCTTCCTTCTGCATGTGAGGGTTAAAGGCATGCACCAGGCCTATGCATTTATTTATTTATTTATTTATTTATTTATCTTTTTAAAATTTCTATATTTTAAGAGGTACTTCTTTTTACATTTTGATATCTCTGATGCTTGGTTAAATTCAGCTTTGCATTGTGTCCTTTAAAAAAAAAAAACTCATTCTGATACATTACTTTTACCCATAATTCCAAATTAACATTTACCTCCAGATCTTTTATTGTTTGTTTGTTTGTTGGAGACAAGATTTCTCTGTGCAGCCCCGGCTGTCCTGGAACTCACTCTGTAGACAAGGCTGTCATTGAACTCACAGAGATCCACCTGCCTCTGCCTCCTGGGTGCTGGTATTAAAGGCATGCTCCACCACTGCCAGGCCCTCCAGATTTTTCTAAAAGTACAAATCTGGTCTGGTTGTGACTCTCTGGGAAATTCTTAAAAGGCTCTGCCTTGGGGAGAGGGACTCTCTATCCCCTCTCCCTAACCCTTCCTCCTCTGGCCCCCACCTTCCTACACAGCTGTATCCCTCTACCTTAAAGTCAAGCAACCACTTTTGCAGCTAGTTCCCCAAAATATTTAAGTGAAGCCAGAGCCCTCTGGCCAGAAGTGTCTTCTATCTTAAAGGTCTCTCTTAGTTTTGTTTTGTTTTTGTTTTTTGTTTTTTAATGCAAGTGACCACTCATTTTGCTGAGCCTGAGCTCTTCCTTCACATACTCCCCCACCCTCAACCCCAGCTTGTGGTATGTGCTGCTCCTAAACCAGGTAGCATGCAAAACCATGTCATCTCTCTGGTCTTTTGATACCAACACAGAGTTCTCTAACACACATACTTATTTATATGTAACCCATTTCTAACAATGCCCAGCGAGGTGGCAAAGGAATACCTTTGAAATAATGAACTAAACATGAGGAAAGCAGGGAGGTGCCTTTACAGAAGATGTAGAACCTTCCAGCTAAGGTTCTTCCAACCTCCTTACCCTAAGACAAGCAAGAGGACACTAAACCACTTGGGTATCCAGAAACCAATTGCAGACCTAGTAATTTTACTTCCAGCTGAAGGTGAATGGTGTCAAAACTCTTGGCATCTGCCCCTCCCCTTTCTCTTTTGTCTTAAAGTATTGCAAGTCTGGACCCCCATTCCACCTCTTGGACACTTGTACAACTTAGCATATATATTTGTGCAAGGCACCAAAGAGGGCTTCTTCTGACTTGCCCACCTGAGATTTCCATTTGGACCCCCTCCCACACCCATGAGTCCCACTGAGACTGAACACCAGTAAATAAATATGGAAGCTGAAGTCTAGTAGAAAACATTTGTTTTACTAACTACATTAAGGCCTCAGAGTTATATGGAGCCATCAGTGGGAACAGTTTCTCCATCTCAACCCACTACTGGATTTCAATTCTAGAAACTGCCCCAAATAGACAGTCCTTCTTTCTGACCTAGATAATTTAAAGCCAAGGATTCCAAGTCATTCATGGAAAAGTACCAGGATAGTGTTGGGATTTTAAATGAGGCATTTTGAATGTGGCCTATCTGACACTGAGATTGGTCTGTGGTACTGACAGTGTCTAGCGCAAATGAGGCCCTGGGTTCCATCCTCAGTGCTGGCTGGGGTGGGGGATAGAAGGTGTCTGTATTAAAACATGTTGACAATTGTAGGACCAACATGCCAGAGATATTCTTAGTGAGGAATCCAGAACTGCAAAGCAAAGCAAAGTAAAGAAAGATGGTAACAGGAAAAAAGGTGTCAAATGCCAGGGGAGGGGGAAATGGAGAGTTTATCCCTAGAAATGTGGCTGTCATGAGAGGATCCTGAGACACTGGCATTTGGGTTGGCAGTTGGGGAAAAGTGGGGAGGGACAGTTGCAACAATAAGCCTAGCTAAGGCCGGTGGGGGTTGGCCTGCTACAGTAGATCCTGTCGATATAGCACAGCATGCAAACAGATTCAAGATAAAGGAGAGACACCCAGACTACACAGAAATGGAGGGAAGTAGCCGCTGTTACCGAGAAAGTGCTGTGTGTTAACTCTCCCCTCCTAAGAAGACGCTAAGGACGCTTAGTTCCAGTCTTGAAGAGGCTCTGAATCAGGCTGGACCACACAGCCCTTTAATAGATCGAGAGAGTCTAGCATTCACCCTGGGGTGGAATCAGACCTTTGTCACGTGCTCTACTTCCATTCTCAGCGCAAAGGTTTCACCAATAAGCCAATATGAAACAGATGGAATGAATCGCTTCTACTCACAAATCTTAGACTTAATAAAAACAAAACAGCCCTGGGTACCAAATACCTTAGCTGCGGAGACATAATTCCTGTAGATTTTGGCTTCCCAGGCAACAAACTCTAACAGTGAATCTGCCCTCCCCCTGAGCTGTAACTGTAAGACAATAAATAATGCAGGAAAAAGAAAGCTAGAGACCAACCTTGGGCTGTAGCTTTTGGTGATTTCGCCCTCAGCACAGATTTAGGGAGGTGTATTTGAACTCCTTGAAGCCGGTGCTCCGGGAGAGGCCTTCCCAGTATCTTGGTATCTCCAAACCAAAAGGATTTTGTTTGGATAAAGGTGGAGTTTCCAGGTCCCAGTCCTGCCACTGGGAACCCCAAGCCACTCCCCAGACCGCGTCAATAAAGAAGGAGAAACAGTGGAAAGCCTGCCTATTGGACCCCACCACCACCCAAACCGGGTGGACTTTGACTGTAAATTGTGCCGCGGGAAGAGAGGGAGGGAGCCGACCTCCTTTGCTTTTGTTTTCTGTGTGGAGGGCACTCTGAGGGACAATCGGTCACCTACCTGCTGGCACCTTCCGGGCCCGGGGGAGGCTGTGCCTCCTGCAGAGCCGTTCGCCCTGGCCTCACCTCCCGGCGCTGTCCCCAGCTGGACCAGCCTGACTCACCCAGGATGGGTGGCGGGGGTTGGGGGACACCTCAGAGGGCGGAGGTAAAGGAGGCGGGCCGGGCCCTTCCCCCAGAGCCAGGGAGGCGTAGCCAGCGCGCAGGTGAAACCGACTCCGACCTATCAGCTGCCACAGGCCAGCTTCGCTCAGGGGCCGCCTGGGAGCCGCCCTCTGCCACCGGGGCTGCGCGCGGGGACTCAGCCCGGGCACCCGACCCTGGGGACCCTCGGCCCTCCCGAAGCGCTTCGGAGATGCGGGCTGAGCTGGTTTCCGCGGCTGATGGAGGCGGGTGGCCCCGCCCTGGGCGCAGGTGACACTCGCCAGGCCCGGGTTTCTGT